GCTATAAGTTCGGGATGCCGCACTGTCGAAAGTGTTCGGACTTCTCGCGTCGTATTATGGGGTAAACGAAAGCCCCTGGCGTACTCACCGTACTCGAATGTACGGGTGCGGATTGTCGTGAATGGACATATAAGAAAAAAAGGATGAATAATGCAATAATAGACTAATTCTATGCATTGTTATTTAAATAATACGTCGAAGCGTATTGGTACAAGTAGCAATAAGCAGAAGGTAGGACTATTTGACATGTCCTATCCAAGGGCAAGCTACGTATGGATAGTAGAAAGCGGGTATATCGATTAATATTAGAGACCACCTGAGGGTTCCCGTGTACATCTTAGCTTCTTGCCGCCTTGGTTGTTCCTTCCCGTAATGCGTCCGGCAATCGTTCTGCCGAAAAGGGCTTCCAGAGAGTTAGGCCCTGAAAGAGAAAAGAAATGATAAAGGTATACAGCCCCTAGGGTGGTTAAGCCGCATTGCGGGACGTGCCCTTATCGTGCCCCCGCCTATGTCCATGGTATTTTCAGTGCGTAATTATGTACGCGCAGCACGGATTTCGTCGCTTGACTAGGACTGGGATGGGGGCGAATTGCTAGGCGAGCTCTGAACGTGCCAGGCGATCCTGTTGCAGTTTACTCCGGACTCGCTTGAAGGTGTCCGGGGACTGTATTGCCGAATTAGTGGTTTGCCGTAAAAGGCTGCTTTGTGCTTCTGCTGCGAGGGCCGCAGTGTGCTCTTCCGTACGGAGCAAGCGTTCTGTGTTTCCATTTATTGTTATGACCCCCTAGGTCCTGGCATCTTGAGCTTGAGGTATGCGTAATGCGGTACTGCATTAAATTTTGCAAATGTTGTTCGTCCAAGCAGTGCGTGATAGCCACTGCGAAACGGGACGATATCAAAGATTAACCCTCGCTTCGGAAGTTGTCCGGTGATCCAAAGACCACTTCCAGTGTGATTGAGCCCGTGCAATGGGCCTCTACACCTGGGATGACATCCTTAAAGGTGGTTTTGGTGGGTTTGATCCTCGAGGGATCGATACCCATTTTTTGCATTGTATCCTGATAGAGCAGGTTCAGGCTGCTGCCGCCGTCCATAAGGACTCGAGTGAGGTGAAACCCGTCGATGATGGGGTCTAGGACTAGTGCGGCGGATCCGCCATGACGGATACTGGTGGGGTGGTCCCTGCGATCAAAGGTGATCAGACAAGCGGACCATGGGTTGAACTTTGGAGCGACGGGCTCCATCGCATAGACGTCCCTTAGTGCACGCTTCCACTCCCTCTTGGGAATGTGGGTTGCGTATATCATGTTCACCGTCTTCACTTATGGGGGGAACCCCTTCTGTCCTCCCGTGTTCGGCAGCCGGGGCTCCTCCTCGTCATCACTATCCAGCCCCTTGTCCTTGTTTTTGGCATTTAACTTCCTGGCCTGCTTGAACACCCATCATTCTCTGTTGGTGTGATTGGCTGGCTTGTCGGGGGTGCCGTGGATTTGACACGAGCGATCCAATATGCGATCCAAACTGGACGGAACCGGAGTACTTCTTTTAAATGGCTTTTTCCACTGACCGGATCTAGAGCCTCTGAATCCGGCATGGACTGTCGTATCATCGGTGTTATCGCCGTTGTTGCGGCGCTTTGGTCTGTTACGACGTGGTCTGCCGTTGGCATCTTTGGTATCCGAAGTTCCCGGATTCCTTGATGTGTTGTTGCTGCGAGCCAGCCAGCTATCCTCGCCCGCGCAAAAGCGGGTCATGAGTGTCGTGAGGGCTGCCATAGACTTCGGCTTCTCCTGGCCAATGTGGCGGGCGAGCCACTCGTCATGGATGTTATGCTTGAATGCCGCTAGGGCCTCTGCATCCGGACAGTCGACGATTTGGTTTTTCTTGGTCAGGAACCGTGTCCAGAATTGCCTGTCCGATTCCCCTGGCTGTTGAGTTATATGGCTCAAGTCATCAGCATCCGGTGGTCGCACATAAGTGCCCTGGAAGTTGTCAAGGAATGCGTCTTCCAAATCCTCCCAACTGCCGACGGAGTCTGCTGGCAAGCTATTCAGCCAATGCCGAGCTGGTCCTTTGAGTTTTAGTGGGAGGTACTTGATGGCATCTAGATCGTCACTGCGAGCCATGTGGATGTGAAGGAGGAAATCCTCGATCCATACAGCGAGATCTGTTGTACCATCATACGAGGTTTAAAACCCTCCGGGAATTCGTGATCCATAACTTCATCAGTGAAGCATAGGGGGTGTGTGGCGCCTCTGTGCCGGGCTATATCACGACGCAGTTCATATGAGTCTTGTCTGCTGTATTCGGCCCGGCCAGATTTATCTTTGGTGTATCCGGCGCGACGATCATCGTCCCATGTTGGCGCGCGCGCCCTTGACCCGTATATTGACCTTGCAAGTTTTGCTCTGCTGTCCAGTACATCTCGCAGGTCCCGTGTGTTGCCCCGAGCCTTGGTATTTTTGATTGAGTGGCGGCGGGGTGCAGGCTGAACTTCAGGTTGAAACGCCTTCCTGGCTCGGCCATGCGGCGGCCGGTCAGCCGCATCGTACACTGGTGATGGAGATTTCAATGCTTCCTCCTCTAGGTGAGGTAGCAACCTGCATTTTTGGTAACTCTTGGAGGGGCGCTCGAGTTCGTATTCCTCGGCCGCAAGGACTTCGGTCCATCTGTCTGCTAGCAAGTCTTGATCAGCTTGAAGCTGTTGTTGCTTTTTCTTTAGGCTATTTGCTGTGGCCATAAGCCGGCGCTTGAAGCGCTCCTGCTCGACGGGATCCTCAGGCATGATAAATTCTTCATCGCCGAGGCTCACCTCATCTTTGGAGAGAGGCATATAATTGTCCTCCTCCGGTTCTCCATCTGCCGCCTGCTCTGGAGGGCTAGCTTGTTCATCCTCCCGCTCTACATCATACTGGAGGGGGTTGTGGTTGTCTTGGGCGCTATCTGGAGTTTTACTATCTCCTGTGCTGGTATCACTACTTTTGCTGTGGCGGGACTTAGAGCGGCGCCGCTGACGTTGGTGCTTGGGTTGCTTCTTGGAGGGGTCATCCTCCGCTGTCTCGTCGCCATTGCCTTTTTGGGAGTGTCCACCATGTATATATCATATGATGAGGTGGCGGTCTAGCGCCCTGTGGGCGGTGGTTCCTATTCGTCTCCTGCATCGTCGTCCATACCGTCGATGTCTTCGGAGTCGAAGTCGAGCATGTCGGTTAAATCGTCGACAGTGGCTACTAAGTGGGTGGTGGGTGGGCAGCGAATTTCTTCGTCGTCCGCATCCCATTCTAGCCGGACATAGTTCGGCCAAGGCTCTCCCGACAAGGAGAGAGACCTTAACGAATTTAGCACATCGCCGAAAGGCGAGTGCCGAAAGATATCCGCGGAGGTGAACTCGATGATCGGCGCCCAGTCGGATTCGATGGGCACGGATGCAGGCGGCTCGGAGTCCGTGGCCAGAGACGAGTCCAGTGGTTTGGCGACACGGCTCTCGTAAGGGGTGAAGTCAGTATCCGTCTCTATCGCCACTAAGAGTGCGGCCTCCATGGCGGGGTCTATCCCTCCGCTCTCGGATGGCGCAATTTGCTCCGAATTGACGGCCGGAGTAGTTGCAGATGCGATCTCCCACATACTGTCCGACAGCAGAGTTACGTCATGCTCATCGTGACTGTGCGGTGCACCTGGCATGGGCTCGAATCCGTTGAAGATCAAGTCTCCGCGGATGTCGGCAGTGTAGTTTAAGTTTCCGAATCTGACCTGATGGCCAGGGGCATAGCTCTCGATCTGCTCCAGATGGCCAAGCGAATTGGCCCGTAGTGCAAATCCACCGAATACGAAGATCTGTCCGGGAAGGAAAACCTCACCTGGACCGCATCGCTACCGATGATCGAAGGAGCCATCAAGCCTTACGGTGACAACACAGTGGAACTCTCAATGAAAGCACCAATGTCGGTGTCAAAACCGGCGGATCTCGGGTAGGGGGTCCCGAACTGTGCATCTAAGGCGGATGGTAACAGGAGGCAGGGGACACGATGTTTACCCAGGTTCGGGCCCTCTTGATGGAGGTAATACCCTACGTCCTGCTTGATTGTTCTTGATGATATGAGTATTACAAGAGTTGGTATACCACGAGATCGTAGAGGCTAAACCCTAGACGCTAGCCTATGGTATGATTGTATGTTGTCCTACGGACTAAACCCTCCGGTTTATATAGACACCGAAGGGGGCTAGGGTTACACAGAATCGGTTACAAGGGAGGAGATCTACATATCCGTATTGCCTAGCTTGCCTTCCACGCCAAGGAGAGTTCCATTCGGACACGGGACGAAGTCTTCAATCTTGTATCTTCATAGTCCAACAGTTCGGCCAAAGGATATAGTCCGGCTGTCCGGAGACCCCCTAATCCAGGACTCCCTCAGATGTCAAATGTGGACACAACCCTCTTGGTAATTCGAAACAAGACGTTCAAAAAATTGGAATAGCTTGCACCATAGCTTTCACCAAAACTTCCTTGCCAACAGCCGACAAGGATTTCTCAATCCATCCAATCACCTTTTCTAGAGTCTATCCTTTAGGTACTTAAAAGATCCATTCCTTGATGAACACACATCTGAAGGCAAGCCTAGATAACGCTCACTTGGGGATTCATTAAGAACAAGCAGAATATTTTTGATCAATTGATGAGTGTCATTGGGGCAATCTTTACTGAAGAAAATTGACGATTTATCACCATTGATTGTCTAGAAGCCTAAAAATAGTTATCCAACAGAGTGGACACCTCCTCCGCCCATTCTCCCAAACCCTTGCAGAACAACATGTTGTTGTTGCAAACAAAAGGTGATTACCCGGCGGTGCCGACTATGCCACTTTAACGCCTGCAAGGTGTGATGAGTGAACACTGGATTTCAAAAGACCTGAAAGGCCCTCTACCGCAAACATGAAGAGATAGGGTGAAACTTGATCACCTTGACAAAAACCTTGTTTAGGCATGGAGGACTTCCTCGTTCCTATCCCAGGCGGCGTGGGACTCCGCCTCCGCTACCTCGGTCTTGAGGGCTATCGCGGCTAGTTCCTCGCACGGTGGCCACACCGCAGTGGTCGGGCCATGACAAATGCCAACATCGACCTCCGATTCGGAGCCCGACGCAGCGGGGACGAGGCGCCACCGCAAGGGTGGCGTCGCCAACCGATGGTCGCCTCGTCCTGCGAGGCCGCAATCACACGCCTCAAGCCGCTGGCACCGTCGGATCCAAGCGTCATTTGCACGGGTGCAATAGATTCACGTCGAAGCGACTTCGACTGCGGAGCTGCGGTCCCGAGACTGGCGGAGAGCCAGTCGGATAGCCAACTCCTCTTCGTCTTGGTCCTAGTCGATGGATTGAGAGATCTCCGGGTCAGATCTGCTGCCCACCATTCAAGTGAAGGCCAAAGATTGCCAGGAGATTGAGGGCGGAGTGGAATAGCTATGGTTTGATCAGGATGTGAATAGGGATGAATATATGTTTCTTTTAGCAACAAGGACGAATATATGAGGGGTCATGATGAACCATAGTGGGCCGGATCTCACATGACGGACGCTTCCGGCCGTGACTGTACGTCCTCATATCTGCCACATATAAATTGGGTATGGGGGTGCGGCCACATATAAATTGGGTATGGGGGTGCGGCCAGTCAGCCCAAACGTTTGGATTTTTTGTCCAAAAGGACCCCCTGTCGAACGCTATTGTCAAAAAGGACTATCTGCAGATAAAAACGTCAAAAAAGACCCTCTGACTAGTGGCGGCAGGTGCGGCAGGCGACACGTGGCACCTGCCGCCACGCCAGGAGGCGGCGGGCCCCGCCGCCACCGCAGGAGGCGGCCGCACGGTGCCCAACAAATTCGGCACAGTGCAACGGAACGGGTGAGGCCAGGTGGGCCACGCCGCCACTGGCTGAGGCGGCCGCTGCTGCCCATGCCGCGCCCAGGCCGACAGCAGCATCTTCACGGGAAGCGAGGCGCGGGCCCGGCCGCCACCGGGTGAGGCGGCAGCGCGCATGCGGCCCGACAGCTTGGACGGGCTTGCGAGTCCAAAAAAAGCTTGGAGCAAACCACGTACGAGCTAGCTAGCATGCGGTAACAACGACAATAAATGTAACTAGAAGGTTCCTACTACACATCTTTACACACATGCATGCATGTGGCCATGCACACAGCCGCACAGAGCTACAGAAATCATCCGAGGAACTCCAAAAGCGATCGAGGACGACGAGCTGGTGCGCGCGGCGCGGGCCGGCGACAGAAACGGAAGGATTATTGAATCACTATCATGGTAGCTGAAGCGTCGACGAGCCGTGCTGATGAGGATGGGCTACCACGGCGCGTGCTGAAGGGCGGGGTAGGCGAAGGCAGCGGCACGGTGGGCGGCCGCGCCGGTGGCGGCGGCGGCGAGCTCGAGCGACTGCACCTGGGACTTGAGGAACTTGACGTAGTGGATGGCCTCGTCGAGCATGGAGGCGGTGTCCATCTTGGTGCCGCCGGGGACGAGGCGCTGCAGGACGCGGATCCGCTCGCTGATGCGCTCCCGCCGCAGCCTCGCCGCCACGCTCTGCGGGTCCTTGGAGGTCCGCACGTTGCGGCGCTTCGGCGGGCGCACCGCCTCCGGGTCGACCTCCACCGGCTGCAGCGCCGCGATGTGGAAGATCATCTCCCGCATCGCGTCCGAAGACGACGGGGAAGAGTACCCCTGCGGCGTGCCGCCGGCGCCATCGAAGACGGCGGCGCCCGGGGACACCACGTACTCCTGGTGCACGCATGGGCGCTGCCGCCTCACCCGGTGGCGGCCGGGCCCGCGCCTCGCTTCCCGTGAAGATGCTGCTGTCGGCCTGGGCGCGGCATGGGCAGCAGCGGCCGCCTCAGCCAGTGGCGGCGTGGCCCACCTGGCCTCACCCGTTTCGTTGCACTATGCCGAATCCGTTGTGCACCGCGCGGCCGCCTCCTGCGGTGGCGGCGGGGCCCGCCGCTTCCTGGCGTGGCGGCAGGTGCCACGTGTCGCCTGCCGCACCTGCCGCCACTTGTCAGGGGGTCCTTTTTGACGTTTTTATCTGCAGATAGTCCTTTGACAATAGCGTTCGGCAGGGGGTTCTTTTGGACAAAAAATCAAACGTTTGGACTGCATTTGCCAGATTCGGTTGGTCAGAACAATGACCGGGTAGGCCGGATGTTTGGGGCGGATATGGAGCTCCGGTTGTAGGTGCTCTTAGCTACGGCCATGCCGCATAATTTGCTCGAGAAAAGAAATCATGTGAAGGCAATGTACCTCTGCTGTTGCATCGACTTGCAAAGGGCAAAATGACGAGGTACAAGCATGTAGCCCAGACCAGTGAGCAGTGACACAATTCGCATGGTATTATTGATGCTTAAACAAGAAATGGATTCTTTCCGGAGTTAACTTGCTCCCGGCACAACACGTATCTACTCACTCCAGAGTCCAGGATGGGAGTATATCAATCACAAACGGGAGCGAACGGCACAAAAAATATACATTTCCATTGGCCTAACCGCCATGCTCCCCCACCCGCTAAACCCCCAGCTACCTACACCGTCAACTCTCGAACTCGTCACCGTCGTCCCTTCTCCGGTCGGTTGTTTACCGCCGGCGAAAAATCGACTGAAACCGTAAAAAAAATGAATAACAATTGCAAAAAAAGAAAAAAAAACTTGGGCAAAGAACATGACATAGAGGCGCCAGGACACTATTATCTATGCAATTTTAACTTTACTCAGACGGAATTACGGCGTCGGGGCGGCCGGAGGTGTGCCCCTCGACCGCTCCTCCTCCGGGGTGCCCCGCGCGCTCTCCTCGGTTGTCGTCTGGCCATGGCCACCGCCGATCTCCTCGATCATTCTGACCACGTCCGGGGCGTCCGGCCGCGCGTCCGGCACGGTGGCCACGCACGCCATGGCCACCTGCAGCAGTGCCACCATCTCCTCCTCGGCGCTCGCGCCGAGCCGCACCAGCTCGACGTCGAACACCTCGGCGGTCCACTCCTCGCGCACCACGGACTGCACCCACCGTGGCAGGTCCAGCGTGCCGTCGCCCTCGAGGGACGCGTGCGTCGGGGACTTGCCGGTGAGAAGCTCCAGCAGGAGGACGCCCAGGGAGTAGACGTCGGCCTTGAACGTGGGACGGCGCGTGTCCACGACCTCCGGCGCGCGGTAGCCGCCGGCGCCGGCGCGGGTGGACGACGGGGCGAAGATCGGGTGGAGGCAGAAGTCGGAGAGCGCGGCGGCGTCGTAGTCCGGTCGGAGCAGGACGTTGGAGGACTTGACGTTGCCGTGCGCGAGGTTGTGCGCGGAGTGCAAGTGCGCAAGCCCGCGAGAGGCGGACAGCGCCGAGAGCATGCGCGCGTCCCAGTCCATCGGCGTCCGGCCGGAGCCCCGGCTCCCTGCATGTGCATGCAAATTTCCCGGTGAGAAATATTTGACGAATGGCACTAGCAAAATCGCAAAGTGCAAAACTAAAATTTTGCAAGGACTATCAGCATTTCATGGTGTTTGCCACGCCTTTTTTTTAGTTTCGGCAGTATCTTAGTTAACTATAAACACAGTGAAGAACCAAAACGAATATTGACTAAATTTTCTTTTGCGCAAGAAACCAATAATAAGACGTGCCGCGTCCGTGAACTAACAACTTATATAGTCTGCTGCTAATCTAAAATACCCAGAGTCATGCAAGATTGAAGAATCCAAATCAATCATCTTGAACTGGTCCATGATTAAGGGGCGGAGGTTGGTCACACACAATTAGTTTTTTCAACCAAAATGTGGTACAGAGAACGCAGGCTGCAACGTAACAAAGAGGGCAGCTCATGTCCATTGGACATCAACAACCACAACCGAAACAATCAATCGGCTGCCGTAGTAGGTTAAGTAGGACCGAAATTAAATCGACAAGAGACTATAGAACATAGGAAATATATAGTAAGTACATATATTTTTCCGGCCACTAAATAAGCGCATCTGGCAGGTACATTCTAGACTAATACATGCCACTTTCCGGAAGAAAAAAAACATATAATTGTTCATGGCAGACCTTCAAACACACCGGAAATGGTAGTGGTCACAAACAACGCTGGTAGTCATACTTGCAGAAGACAAGCTTCAATTGAAAAAAAAAACACAATGGGACACTACCAACTACCATCAATATACAAAATGTATTTGTGAACTCGGAACAGAGCAAGGAAGCACGTATAGCTATTTCGCTGAGGGGTCGGCCGGGTACCCAAATGCAAGATTGTGGTTTTTGGCAAGTACTCTATTTTTTTTTTTTTTGAGGGAAGGCAAGTACTCTAATGGGGATCAATGGCCAGCAGAATGGCCGACCCCTGCGTTGTTTGCCGCAGGGGCAGCATTCAAGCTGCCGATTGTGTCATGCATGCATATGTGGATGTCAGCATTGACTGGGGCCTGGACCCATATGCCATAGTGGAGACATGCAGAGGACATGCAAGATTGCCACTTGCCGCCGCAGGACCTCAGCTTAGTCAAAATCTCATACTGTACTGTCAACTTTGACAACTGCGATTCTGAACTCAGCAGTCAATATAGAGTATGTATACGTAACGTAATATGGTGGCAGGATGGATAACGTGCAACCACCTGACTGTTCATTCGCCTGTCATCATCATCTATCCCTTTTTCCGGGCAGGTGAGGCTGTGATCGCAAGCAATTAAGATGGCCGCGAGGGAGGGACGACGAGGCACAGACATGGCGTGGAGTGAATGCCTGCTTGCACTGGAGTGCGGCGTTTTGGTCATGAAATTTTTCCCACATGCAGCGTACACCCGTATGATAGAGCGTTGCTATACAGCCGACGGTTCCAGACGATACACAGCCGATGTGTCTCATCAGGCCGTTTGTAAATTTGATACTAGGCAATCTGACGGTGTAGAGCTTGTGTCGGCTGCACATCGGGCATTGCATGTCGTGTGCACATCAATTTCGCGTATGATACTGTTGATTTTTTTCCCAGAATTTTGGAAGATTGAAACCATTTTTTAAAATTTTCAAAAAAAAAAAACATCCATGGAGCCCGAGCACCAGAAGGCATTTCCGGCTTGCAGTGCCACTTGTTCATCAGCTAAACGCATGCGCAGCGAGGCAAGAGGCGAGCACTTTTAGGTGGGATCATGGCAAGGCCAAGTGGTTCGGCACTCACCGCTCACCGCTCAGCACGACAACTCACACCACATTATTCTACTTGGAGCCTCCCCACCCCCAATCTTGCATGCTTGCCAAGTATGAGATGCAGTATGAACATAAACGATGTACTAGTACGTGCTGCTATGCGTACTATAGCATAGATTGATGGAGCACCCTAGCTTCATCGTGCATTTGTGCTGCCATGCCACTTGCCAGGGTATTGACTTTGGGTTTGGTGTGGGGCAGCACTTGGGACTCGGCACATGGCGGTGCGTTGCAGAGGGGCATTTGCGCACCTCTTTACACGCCCAACAGCGCACACGGGTACACGCTAGAAGCAAGTAGCACCGGGCGACAATTCCCACAGCCACAGCAAAAGTGGCCCCCAAATGTATTGTATGGCAATGACAGATATGGCGCCAAGAGTACACCAAACTAGCCTTCCATTCTATTCAATGTGCCCTAGCAATTTGCATTTGCATTTCTGGATCGGAATGTGAAAAAAAAACTATTTGTGGCACGCACCCAGCCAGCGTGAGCAGTGAGGTGAGGACCATCATCGCTTTACAGCCCAAACCTCGCATCCATCGCACCATACTTGGCATCAGAGAAAAGCGATGACGAAGCAGAAAGATCAAGAAAACAAATGAGGATCAAAGAAAAGGAACAGCGCGGAAGAGAGAGGGGGAGCAGGGGAAAAGCGCGCCGCAACTACCGTCGGCCGTCCACAACACATGCCGTCACATCGACATCGATTGTTCGTTCTCTTTTTTAGCTATGGGGAGAGGAATTTTCCGAGTAAATTGCCGCCCATCAACCATTCCATAGCCACCTGCTTGCAGCCGACCATCAATGCCGGACAATTCCGGCAGAATCTTGCACTGCACGGTGCCATTCTATGTGTCCTCGTCGCTAGCGTAAAGGAGTAGTAGTGGAGTACTATCACTTATTGATGAATTTTCGCCCGACGCCGGCCTGAATTTTGTCGACAGTTCCTATGATGGCGCACCACGCAGTAATCCTAGCCAAGCAAAGCGGGTAGCAGGCAATGCGGTGATGCTGCGAGTGCGACGGCGGCGATGGCGACGATCTCCCCCCGGTCACGACGGCAACGGCGGCGATGGCGATTCGATACAATGTACTACTAATAAATTTGGTTTCAGAAAAGAAAACAAGATGATGGTGCGAGGCTGACCGTGGAGCATGGCGGAGAGGCTGCCGTTGGGGAGATAGTCGTAGACGAGGAGCTTCTCGTCCTTGGAGAAGTAGTAGGCGCGGACGGGGAGCAGGTTGCGGTGCTCCACCCTGCCCAGCGCCTCCATGTGCGCGTCGAACTCGCGCCGCGCCACCGCCACGTCCTTGAGCCGCTTCACCACCACCGTCGTCCCCTCCTCCAGCACCGCCTTGTACGACGTCCCCACGCTCCCCTTCCCCAGCACCTCCGCCGACGCGCGCAGCAGGTCCTCCAGGTCGAAGCTGTACCCCGCGCCCTTCCCCAGGAACACCAGCCGGCTCGCCTCCCCCGTGCCGGCGCCCGCGGCCACCGCCGCAGCGGCCGCCGACCCGGAGGTGCCGCCTCCCATGTCGTCCTTCGACGAGGACGTCATGCCGGTGACATCGCCGGACGCTGGCGGAGCCACTCCTCTTGTCTGCCCCACCGCCGCCGCGGACGTGGCCTTTGGTCCCTCGCGGGGGCCACTCCGCCGCCGGGACCTCGCGCAGAGCACGATGGCGGCAAGCAGGAGCAGCACGACGACCACGGCACCCACGACGATGCCCGCAATCGCCGCGCCTGAGAGCTTCCTCTTCTTGTTAGACACCGCCCCGGGCTCGTCGCTGGGGCTCATCCCGGGAGCCGGCGACGGGGACGGGAAGAAGGGGCTGCAAGCGGGCAGCGGTTTGCCGCACAGCTGGAGGTTCCCGGCGAAGGAGTCCGCCGGGAAGCGCGCGAGGGCCTGCGGAATGGAGCCGTTGAGGCTGTTGACGGAGACATTGAAATCCTTGAGCTCCGGGTTGGTGATGCTGGGGATTTTGCCGGAGAGGCGGTTGCCTTCGAGGCGCAGAGAGCGCAGGGAGGCGAGGCTGTTGAGCGCGAAGGGGATGGGGCCTGACAGATTGTTGTGGGAGAGGACGAGCCTCTCGAGGGCCGCGAGCTTGCCGACCCCCGACGGGATGGCGCCGGAGATCATGTTGTTCTGCAGGAAGATGGCGCGGAGGCTGGAGAGCTGGAGCAGATCGTCAGGGATACCCCCGATGATGCGGTTGGAGCGGAGCGACAGCACCTGCAGGTTGGGGAGGCGGCTGATGGTCGCCGGCGGGATGGCGCCGACGAGGCCGACCCCCGGGAGGCGCAGCTGGACGACGGTGGACTGGGCGGCGTCGCACGTGACCCCGACCCAGGAGCAGGCCGGCGTGGAGGTGTTCCAGCCGAGCCTCCGCTCGTGGGGCGTGGCCGTGAGGAACGCCAGCAGCGCGGACCGCTCGCTCGGCGGCGGCTCCGCGAAGGCGAGGCATGCGAGCGACGCGACGGCCGCCAGCAACACCGCGCGGGACACGGCGACGGCCATTGCGACGGGCGCGTCTACGAGGAAGGCATTGGGGAGCAGAGCAGAGGTGGAGCTGCCTGCCTTGGTGGCTTCCTGGGGGAAATTTTGGGGCGAAGGAAGTGGGAGTGTGCGCGGCGGGGAGAGTTTTATGCGGTGGACGGACGGGTTGGGTTGGTGACTGACGGACCGGCGACTAGTGTACGGTAGCTGGCATCGACGAGAGACGCACTGCCACTGGCTCGGCTCGAAATGGCACACTGCCACAGTGAGCGCGCCCGTGACGGCGTCGGGTACTCGGCCGCGCTGCCATGTGTTTGGACTCGTTGGTTTCTGGGCTAGCTTGGCTGGCCGGGTCACCCTCACGCGTAGGAGCATGTCGTACCACGGTTCCTGGCTGGATACGATAGAATACGAATATACGCGGGATAGCGCTCGAAAATGCTGGTGCGTACCGTACTCTCTGCAGGAATTACGCCGCATTTGCAGCCGTGGTCAATACGGATTGACCATCTGCAGCACTTATGGATTGGTCGTCAGGCCCGTCTGCGATACACACACAGTTGGGGATAACACTCTGTCCAGCCAAGAGTATGTCTTTTCCAGTTAAAAATGGGAGTAGGCGTCGGCGCAGTTCAATTCGTCATCTCGATACCGTGCCATTCACTGTTTTACCTACATCCACAGCAGGGAGCTTAATCCCTCAAAAAGATGAGCTTGATCTTGCTTTATTAATTGCGCCTTCCACGGTTCGCGTAGTTTGGAGGGTGCAGCCGTCGTCACAAACGTGCTTTCGGCAGTGTTAAGAAAGATAGAAAGAAAGAATGTCGTCGACAGAATAACACCAGCTAGCAACCAAAGAACATCGGAATCTTTAGTAGCTTGGCGCTGCAGTAAAGTGAAAATTTCCGTCCAAACAGTCCCATCATTCGACGACCACGCAGAGGAAAAGAAAACAACAAGGAAAACGAGCAGATGGATAAGCCTGGATGGACAGCTACATCATATGCAGCACCCGAAAGCCGGCAAGCCGGTCTGCCGCCGCCCGCACGCCGTGGACGGTTAACCGTTGGCTACGCCAAGATGGTACGCGAGGGAGCTCGCCGATCGCCGTCCCAGATCGGATCGATTATTATGGAGGCCAACAACCAGGAGCACGTTAACCATGACTCCACTAGCCAGGACTCGCGCGCGCACGGCGGTGAGCATAGTTAACGGCGCTTTACGAGCTGGCGATCAACACCCAGACGCTGTTATCAAATCATCTTTGTTGCCGCCTCGTCTCTTGATCAGCGCGCCTGTGTCGTCATCGCTTCGCTCTCGATGCTGCTTGATGGTACGGCCAGACCAGACTGGGTTTCGCATCTGCCTGACGCCTCCAACTCAAGAGTACATTGGGGCTAAGCGCATCTCTAAGGATGAGATGTAAATTTGCTCCGGTATTCATCCGCGGATATGGATGCCAGAGTCGGTCATCCACTCAACGCTGCCCGCATACATTTCAAGTCGGATTTCAATTTAATAGACAAAATCAATGCAAACCGGTTGATATTCATCACAATTCAAAAAGAAACTAGTACAAATCATTCATACATAGTATGCAAGTATAATGATGTCTCAAATTCGATGTCCAACAAGTTTTCGAACGCATCATTTAATCCCACACATATTGCCCATCAGCTTCATCCAACAATGTGTGTACCTAAATGACCGTCCCTCTGTCCCGTGGTACATCAAGGTAGCGCGTACGGGCTATGCAATGTGTAGAGCAACTTTGAGTGAATGAATGGTTCAATCGACAAGTTGAGAAAGAAGAAACAAAACATATGATATCCTCATCTGCCGCGTGCAATGGCCACCTTGCCTCCACTTGAGCAACTCTGTGACAAAACTTGGTGACGATGGTTTCGATGGTGTGCCATCGATATGATAACGACCTCACATTGCGATCATGGATGATGTGCATGTCGTAGGACGCAATGTGCTTTCATGCGTGAAATGATTCATGCACTTGCTGCCAGAAGCCCCCCTGCTCTTGCCTACGAAATCTATGGATATGACCAACCACGCATCGCACAACAACTCATCCTACATGGTCAAGTACCCTGCCATCCTTCTTACTCTGAAAAAAAACATGGCGTCTGAAAAAAGCTCAATGGCGTTTGACCGAACACCTGCCGAGCATGGTGGCCGTCATGGAGGTCGTCGACAGGGTGGCGAAGTGTACCGGGTACAAACGGCTCCAGGGTGGACAACATCGTCGTAAAAGGCGAGCGGGCGTGTCAGTGCTGGTTGCGAACATCCGACGATGCCTGTGTGGCGACCAGAGAGGTATAACGATAGAGGTGGAGGGTGCTGATGCAAAGCAAGGGGAGAAGTGGCAGAGTAGAAGAAAATGGGGCTGGAAGGGCGGATTTAGTGGGACTGGGGTGTCGGAGTCCAACGTGGTTGTCACCCGGACTCCCGCACCTCCCCCCACTTTGTCTCCACTTTGCGGAAGAAAGTGTGTCTGGAGTGCCAAGCGAATCGATATAGGCCCGCGTTGGATGGCTTCCGCTATCCGGACCTATGCAGGCGGTTTGAGGGTCGACGCTGGAGATGACCTAATCAATTAGCTGATCTGCTGGCGGTTAATCCACCATCGTAGCATTATAAGAGCATCTACATGAATCCTTCTCAAATGCTTCCTATATGCCGGGGCAAAACCCATGCGGACATGCGTTGTTATCCAGCGGGTTCGTGAGGATACAGCTCCAGCATGCCGCCTGAGGGGTTAAAATCCGACTATTTAAGTTGTATAGTGACCCCCAATGCTAGCCACAGTCTCATCCCCCCCACCTGGCGACGTCACCCCCACATCTGCTCGTAACTCAGAGCTCGCCACCCACCTGTAGCCATGGCCCAACAGCGAATCACCACCTAGGCGACACTCATTCTGGAGAGCCAGTTGGAACTCCTCGAGGATATGCGGGCCTGACGCGCCGCTCGAATCGCGACTCATCCGCATCCGAACACTCTGGAGCATTAGGAGGCTTGCTGGACGGTGATGGGTTGGATGAGATTCATCATGTAATCGAGTTAGTCTTGTTAGGGCTTGATCCCTAGTATCCATTATGTTCTGAGATTGATATTGCTATGACTTTGCTATGCTTAATGCCTGTCACTAGGGCCCGAGTGCTATGATTTCATATTTGAACCGTTTACGTTTTCGCAATTATATGTATGTTGGTGATCTGATTTTGCAAGCTATATGCACCTATTACGTGTTATGATCTGTAAACCCCAAGGTGACAATAATTGGGATACTTTCTGGTGATGACCATAGTTTGAGGAGTTCATGTATTCACTATGTGTTAATGATTTGTTCCGCTTCTTTGTTAAAAGGAGGCCTTAATATCCCTTAGTTTCCTTATGGACCCCGCTGCCACAGGCGGGTAGGACAAAAGATGACATGCAAGTTCTTTTCCATAAGCACGTATGACTATTTACGGAATACATGCCTACATTATATTGAAGAGCGGGAGCTAGTTTTGTGTCGCCCTAGGTTATGAATATTATATGATGAATATGATCCAATGAAATCATCGATCTAATGCCTATGAGCTTTTCAAATATTGTCCTTTCTAAGTTACTACTGTCGTTACTACTGTTATAATTGCTACAAAATTACCGCTATTGTTGTTACTGTTACTATTGCTGCTACTACTATTGCTATCGTTATCAAACTATCATACTACTATGCTACCGATCACTTTGCTGCAGATATTTAGTCTCCAAGTGTGGTTGAATTGACAACTCAACTTCTAATACTTGCAAATATTCTTTGGCTCCCCTTATGTCGAATCAATAAATTTGGGTTGAATACTCTACCCTCGAAAATTGTTGCGATCCTCTATACTTGTGGGTTATCAGCATGCATGAGTTGATATACTTGTCTCGGACGTGATGCCTATATACATGATCATTGCCTTGAATATCGTCATAACTATGCTCTTTTCTATCAATTGCCTAACAGTAATTTGTTTACCCACTTTATGTTATGTTCAAGAGAGAAGCCTCTAATGAAAACTATGACCCCCAGGTCTATCTTTATCATGTATTAAAATTCAAAAAATACCTTTCTGCAATTTATTTACCATTATTTTATTTTATTTTATTTTTTGTTTATCTATCTATCAGTATCAGACTTGATCTCTGCAATTAACCACTAAGGGGATTGACAACCCCTTTATTTGCGTTGGATGCAAGTATTTTTTTGTGTAGGTGATGTTCATGAGGTCTTGTGTGGTTCTCCCACTGGATTGATAACCTTGGTTCTTAACTGAGGGAAATACTTATCTCTACTGTACCGCTTTCTCTCCTTTTCGAGGAAATCCCAACGCAGCTCACAAGTAGCAAGACCTTCACTATTTCTTACATTTTCGGAGACCCGTAACTGTGAGTGGGCTGAAATTTTGAGGGAATTTTTATCCGAAATTTTGAGGGAATTTTGCGGCGAAAGAAGGGCATCAACCGACCTACAAGGTGCCCACAAGACATCAGGGCGCACCTTGTTGCCTTGTGGGGCCCTCGAGCACTGTCTTGCATTGATTCTTTCTCCCAAAATCGCATGTATTCCCTAAAAAATCTTTGTAAATTTTCATAGTGTTGTTAATTCGTTTGTTATGATTTTGTTGCGAAACAAAAAACATGCACAAACAAGGAGTGACACTAGGCACTATGTTAGTATGTTAGTCCATAAAAATAATATAAAAGTGCATCAAAACCATATAAAATTATTGTAAACATGACATGAATACTTCATAAATTATAGATATGTTGCAGACGTTTCAGGCGCCGGGCCAGATCTATAGGGGAACGTTGCAGAAAACAAAAAAATTTCCTACGTTTTCACCAAGATCCATCTATGAGTTCATCTAGCAACGAGTGATCGGATGCATCTACATACCTTTGTAGATCGCGAGCGGAAGCGTCCAAAGAACGGGGATGAGGGAGTCGTACTCGTCGTGATCCAAATCACCGGA